TGATCAAAGAGACAAAATCATGATGTGATATGATTGATTTTTGCAAATAAACAACCGAAATGGAATTACACAATCCTCATGTTTCACCACCTTCTTTCTTTTGACCATAAAAGAAGCATTTGTCACTTAAATGAATAACAATAAGCTGCTCTTTCAGTGGAGAAAACGGCAATTTTTTTTATTTACAAATGTCTCTCACACAGAAACTCTTTGGAGCCATGCAGGCAAACACTGACTTCTCAAACTAAAACTTCAATAGCATTCCCGACATGCTGCAACACCTTGAGTCAACATCTCACTGAGCCCTGAAAAAGGAGAGCGGCTCCTCTATCGACCGCTGTCTGCTCATTGTGCTCCGACTGTCTGGGTCACGGAGAAAGCAACTACTTAAGATTGGCGGAAAAATAGAAGCCTGAAGTTTTAGTGAAAAGTTGTTGAAGCTTTTATTTTATAACATTAAAAAAAATTAATATTCCTTCGAAAGCTGTTTTTGAGTTTAATCTCTTATTATGTTTACATTTTTTAAAGATTCTGTGGTTTACATATCAAATAACAAACATAAACACCCATTAAAAATACATGTATACCTTTAATTGGCAATGTGACTTCTTTAAAAACATTTCACACCTAGTTAAAGATACATGAAGGATAATTGTTTATTAAAACCTAAAAAGAACAAGAAATTACCTACCTACCAGCTGTCAGTCATCAGTGCAATCATCAAAAAGAAAACCTGATCCCACAGTGGTTTTTCTATTTCTATTTTTAACAAAAATGGTAAAAATAGAAAAAAGTATTTATTTAATGACACTTTTAGTCTAAAATCTAAACATTTTTAAAAGTAGGTTTGTAAAAATGTCCTTAAGAGTATAAAAATTCAATAAGAAGTGTTTCTAAAGGACGGCACTTTTTCTAATTTCGTAATTGTGTGTGCGTCCTACTGCTCGAGATCATCTGAACAGGCCCACTTTCTTCTTCTTTGGTTTGGAGGCCGGTCGCTCTGCAGCGGTGGATGTGACAGGAAGAGACTGAGGAAGACAAAAAACACAAAAGGAGGAATATTTTTCAGTCTATTTCCAATTTCCTGTTTTTAAAATCACTCAATCTCTTCTTTTTTCTCCCCCAAGGAAGCATTTAAGCAGGAGACACATTTCACAGTTCATCTGCTGACTTGTAATTTGAATATTGGAGATCCCAGCTGATGAATTTGGATTTAAAATCTCTTTTAATCTCCATCTTTGTTGCATTTGTTCCCCTACAAATAACCCTAATTGGTCAAATCTTTTTTTTTTAAAAAAAAAGCAGTCTTCTGTTGTACCTGCTGCATTTTGGGTCTGTTGACCATCTTGGCTCCACGTGTTTCCGGCTCCCCGTTGTTGGTCTGTTTTTCATTCCCATCAGCCGATTCACTGCTGACAGATCCGCCGGCTGAAGGACGAGGACGAAGATGTTTATTAAACTAAATAATGACTCAGAGAAGCACCAACATGTCACATCTGTCATCAGTAAATCAGGATTAAATT